AAAAAGATGGAAAATGTTTATATTTAACTTAGGCATTGGCCTTTCTCCTTTCATAATGTTTTTTTTTTTCACTATATGATCTCGAGCGAAAACTTTTTTTCAAATAAATTTTCAATATCGCAATTACATTTAGAATTGCTAGTCACTATATAAAGGCTAAAATTAAAAATAAAATTTTTAAAAAATTTAATTTTTACAAAACGGACGGATTTTGTAAAAAAACTGATAGATTTACTGCTGCAATTGAAGTTAGCACAACGATTTAAGCGGACTTAGAAAAGTTCCGTGGTTGTGAATATCGAGTGTTTGTGGTGTAGTGGTTATCACGTCCGCTTCACACGCGAAAAGTCCGAGGTTCCCAACTTGGCAGGCACAGCTTGAAGTTTTTTGTCGCTTTGCTCGATCGAAGTGCGGCACCTTATTATGCAACTGTGCATTCTAGTCACCTTTCTATCTGTTACAGATCACGTGTTTCGATTAAGTGGGTCCCGAAAATAGTGCATAATTAAAACGGAAATGTGTATTTATTGAATTAACTTATCGAGGAAACAAGCAACATAAGAGACGGTGACACTGGAGTTTGACATCGTCGCTCATAAAGAATAGAGGAAAAAGTATTTAGAAAAAAGGGAATTGTTTAAAATTCAAAACGCGGTAAGAAAAAGGGAGCGATGAGATGCAGTATGAACGAGAATGTCTAAGTCATCGACGAATCGCGATCAGAGTCTAGAGAATGATGTCGGATAAAACCGTTCAGGGCAAATCTTTCTCACGACCTAACTTTTTATCGTTATTCCTATCACGATACAAACACGTTAACCTTACGACCACGAACACTCACGTCCGACGCATTTGTTTTCTCTTTGGTAGTAGCAATTTCGCTCATATCTAACTTGCAAATTCGTTTTCTAATCTTATCCTCTGGTAACATGATTTTCAATTATTAATAAGTTGCTTCGCCGTTTATACAGAAAAACAACTCGCATTCGTTTTCTGGCACAAGAAGACTGCAAACGTCTTTCTGGTATCTTCGCCTGCTTGAATCTTTATAAAAATTTTCACTCAAACTGTCCGATAATGTCAGCAAATCTAGAAGGAAAATCAAAGTTTTGATTACGACCGAAGATCTGTTCAAGAAGAAAAAACGTCGTTTCGCCTCTTTTGGCAGGTGTCTGTAGTGTAGCGGTTATTACGTCCGCTTTATACGCGAAAGGTCTCATGTTCGATTTCTGGCAGACACACGCTCATTTTTTGCTTGTGACCTAAGCAACACATTTATTAATTATTTTTTGTTTCCTTTTTTGCTTTCTCTTGCTTTTCAACGTGTTCGTTCTCTTCGTTCGAGACTTATCTTCTGTTTTTTCTCGCCGTATGGTTTTCGCCCACGCCTAAAAACAATGCGAAATAACAGTCACACCTTAAGGACAGGATCGACACAATACGTANCAAGTACGAGAGAATCGACGATTTTTGGGGTCTTTTGCCAACTAAATTGTTAAAGCCATTCTTATTTCACATACTAATTTGTTCGAAAATGTCGAACAAATTTTTTTATTGAAGCCTTTATATTTAACTTAGGCATTGGCCTTTCTTATTTCATAATGTTTTTTTTTTCATTATATGATCTCGAGCGAAAACTTTTTTAAAATAAATATCCAATATCGCAATTACGTTTACAATTTCTAGCCACTATATAAAGACTAAAATTAAAAAGTAAATTTTGTAAAAATTAAATTTTTACAAAACGGACGGATTTTGTAAAAAAACTGACGGATTCACTGCTGCAATTGTAGTTAGCAGAAAGATTTAAGGGCTCTTAGAAAAGTTCCCTGGTCCTGTATACCGAGTGCTTGTGGTGTAGTGGTGGTCCTGTATACCGAGTGCTTGTGGTGTAGTGGTTATCACGTCCGCTTCACACGCGGAAGGTCCCAGGTTCGAAACCTGGCAAGCAGAACTTCAAGTTTTTTGTCGCTTTGCTCGATCGACATGCAGCAACTGTGCTTTCGAGTCACCTTTCTATCTGTCACAGATCACGTGTTTTGATTAAGTGGTGTCTCGAAAATAGTGCATAATTAAAACGGAAATGTGTATTTATTGAATTAACTTATCGAGGAAACAAGCAACATAAGAGACGGTGACACTGGACTTTGACATCGTCGCTCATAAAGAATAGAGGAAAAAGTATTTAGAAAAAAGGGAATTGTTTAAAATTTAACACGCGATAAGAAAACGGGAGCGATGAGACGCAATATGAGCGCGAATGTCTAAGTCATCGATGAATCGCGATCAGAGTCTAGAGAATGATGTCGGATAAAACCGTTCAGGGCAAATCTTTCTTACGACCTAACTTTTTATCGTTATTCCTATCACGATAAAAACACGTTAACCTTACGACCACGAACACTCACGTCCGACGCATTTGTTTTCTCTTTGGTAGTAGCAATTTCGCTCATATCTAACTTCCAAATTCGTTTTCTAATCTTATCCTCTGGTAACATGATTTTCAATTATTAAGTTGCTTCGCCGTTTATACAGAAAAACAACTCGCATTCGTTTTCTGGCACAGGAAGACTGCAAACGTCTTTCTGGTATCTTCGCCTGCTTGAATCTTTATAAAAAGTTTCACTCAAACTGTCCGATAATGTCAGCAAATCTAGAAGGAAAATCAAAGTTTTGATTACGACCGAAGATCTGTTCAAGATGAAAAAACGTCGTTTCGCCTCTTTTTGCAGGTGTCTGTAGTGTAGCGGTTATTACGTCCGCTTTATAAGCGAAAGGTCTCATGTTCGATTTCTGGCAGACACACGCTCATTTTTTGCTTGTGACCTAAGCAACACATTTTTTAATTATTTTTTGTTTCCTTTTTTGCTTTCTCTTGCTTTTCAACGTGTTCGTTCTCTTCGTTCGAGACTTATCTTCTGTTTTTTCTCGCCGTATGGTTTTCGCCCACGCCTGAAAACAATGCGAAATAACAGTCACACCTTAAGGACAGGATCGACACAATACGTATCACTTGCACGAATCAGCAGATATCGTGCTTCAGAGAAAATGTGACGCGATATCAGAAAACTAATGAGCTTTATTCTTTGTGCAGTCGACCCCCTATAACATTGTTGATTTTCCCGTTTTATATGAATTCCATATTGTATGAGTCATTTAGATTTTACAAATACATGAGCTGTTCACAACCCGGCACACGTATTTGTAAAATCTAAGTGACTCGTACAACGCAGAATCCATATAAAACGGAAAATTCAACAGTGTTATAAGGGGTCGACTGTATCGCAATCTGTAGAAAACGTTTTTTAACATATCGGGTCGAATATGCGAGATTAATCTTACACTGCGTAATACACGTTATCGACGAACGTCGACATGGACCATTTATTGATCCGTTTCGCCTATTGTCTGTAGTGTAGCTTATACTATCCGGCGGTAATGTTATCGGCTGCATTTTGCAACTATTAAGCAGGGTGTTTTTCATTATTAGTACGCGTATATCTTGACGCAAGACCACCGCAGACCGTTTATTCGAAAGATAATGGGCCTTAGAAAATGAATATGTTTTAAGAAACTCAGTTAATTTTTAGTAAATCGTTTGTGTTTATCATCGAATACCGAAAATATTGGTAATCGATGATGTCGGAGATAATTCGACAAGACGAATATTGCCTACTGTCAAAGAAAATAAAAATCGACAAATAGTCTTTTTGCACGAATTGCACGAAATAGAATCGAGACAATGTCGGCAATTACTGTCTCTTCAGTTCAGTTTATACATGATCCGTTGGACTACGCATCGTATGTATCTTAGCAAGTATACTTGTGGACCCAATCGAATTCTTTTACTCGAAATAAATCCAGGACAGTTTGAAACGGCTCAAAATGTAGTTCCATTTAAAGAAATATCCACTTTCTTCATGCACAGTTTGGTTCATAATTATTGCTCACTTTCTTTCTTATTCAAAACACGTAAAATTATCACCCCATCTCAGTCAGAACACGTAGTGACTCCAATATGCGATGAAGCATCGCGTAGATTGGTGAATTTGCTGAATGTAAAAATATTAATTGCTGTAGGTAAATATACTGAAAGGAGAGCAAAAATTGCTCTCAGGAAAATAAGTGAGAAAACCATTTGTAATATAATTTAATTACAATTTAATTTGTCTTGTAGTGGCAGCTGCCCCTCTCTGTTTCTGTATAGGTACGAAGCCCAGTCAGTTATTTTTTTTTCAATCATTTGTGTCTCCGTTTTATTTTTTCGATAGTGTCAGTTATAGACTTGAATGATGTGACGGTTCAGTCAGTTTTAACGTTATAATTTGTTGTTTAATTACCTCATAAAATTGACAGTGCTCTATTGCTTTATATTTCTATTAAAAATCAGATTTCTAAATTATAACTTATCCGTATGATATTTATTAATTTTACAAAATATAAAAATTGTTTATTGTTACAGTAACAATTAATGTTTCAATATTGTTAGACGGATCATTATCGTTGCTATTTGCGGAGCGATTGAAAGCGATATTTTTCTGAAATAAATGCTAAAGTTTAAAAATATAAAAATATTCGTAATTTATCTGTTTATATTGAAATTTTCCGAATTATCAGCTGATTAGAGAGAAATTTCACTACTCAAATATGACCATAATTACCCAGCGGAGGAATTAAACAATGCAGAAGCTGCGATTCCATCCGAGAAACAAGATGAAATGAGAAATTTCATCACGAGATACCGGACTGTGTCAAATACACCGAAACAGACTTCAGAACAAGTCCGCTTTCAAGACAGTAACATTAATTATCGAGGAAAAGGACTAACAAAAAAGGAAAGTCGACAGCTACCCGAAATGCCTTCTTTGTCGAGAAAACTTTTATCTAACTTCGATGTTGGGCCTGATGACAAAGAGAGACTCAAAACCACACCACAAGGAATATCAAATGAAAGGTCTGCAAAAG